CATCCTCAGTCCACTCCTTGTGAAAGTCCCCAACACTTTTGAATGGCCTTTTCCTGACAATCCTCTCCAGGCTGCGGTCATCCCTGCTGCTTGTGCACCTTTTTCTTCCACACTTTTCCCTTCCACATAACTTTCTATTAATGTGCTTTGATACAGCACTTTGGGAACATCCAACTTCCTTCGCAATTACCTTTTGAGTCTTTCCCTCCTTATGTAGGGTGTCAATGATGGTTTTCTGCACAACTGTCAGGTCAGTAGTCTTCCCCATGATTGTGATTCATACTGAACCAGACTGAGAGACCATTTAAAGGCTCAGAAACCCTCTGCATGTGTTATGGCTTAGCTGATTTCGAGTATCACCTGTACATTATCCAGGAATGGGGCGCTAAAAAAAACTGTATTCATTTTTTAAGAAGAGTTATTTTTAACGCTGTTCCAGTGTTTTATGGTGTGACTATATATATTAACCAACTTTGCCTTTCATTTTTTTGCCCTTCAATTTCAACCAAATATTGAGGGCATAATTTATCCCTCCCATTATCCGTTAGTCCAGGGCTCTATGTTATTTTTATTGTGGTCCACTAAACGCACCCCTTTTTACAGTGTAAGCATAATTATTCAGTCATTGATTTAATGAACTACCGACTAACAGTTCCAAGTAAGCTTTTTCTTAAGCAATAGTAGAGTTTACTGTTTACAGAATTCCTGATTATGATATCGCCGACATTGAAACAATGTATTTAGAATAGTTGAAAGCAGGGGCGTACCTGGAGTATTTGGCACCCGGGGTGGATCCTTTATTTGGCACCCCCCTTCCCCTCCAAACTTTGAAATGTAGAAAACAACTGCAATTTTTTTTTTATGTATTTGGCACTGAACACTGAAACAAACACAGACACACAAACATACAAACAGATACACAAACACACAAACAGATACACATACAGATACACAGACATACAGATACACATGTATAAGTGTGTGTTTTCATAGTGAATGCAGTGTGTTTGCGTAGTGGATGGAGTGCGTGCGCTTGTATAGTGTATGCAGTGTGTATAGTGAATGCAGCTTGTGTATATAGTGAATGCAGCTTGTGTGTATAATGTATGCAGTGTGTATAGTGTATGCAGTGTGTGTATAGTGTATAAAGTGTGCAGTGTGAATGAAGTGTGCAGTGTGTATGCAGTGTGTATAGTGTATGAAGTGTGCAGTGTGTGTATAGTGTATGAAGTGTGCATTGTGTATGATGTGTGCAGTGTGTGTATAGTGTGTGTATAGTGTATGCAGTGTGTGTTTAGTGTATGAAGTGTGCTGTGTGTGTAGTGTGTGCAGTTTGTGTGTAGTGTGTAGTGTATGCGGTGTGTGTGTAGTGTGCATAGTGTGTGCAGTGTGTATAGTGTATGCAGTGTATGCAGTGTGTAGTGTATGAAGTGTGCCGTGTGTGTCTAGTGTATGCAGTGTGTGTGTAGTATGTGCAGTGTGTGTATAGTGTATGCAGTGTGTGTATAGTGTGTGCAGTGTGTAGTGTATACAGTGTGTGTGTAGTATATGCAGTGTGCATATAGTGTATGCAGTGTGTGTATAGTGTATGCAGTGTGTGTGTAGTATATGCAGTGTGTGTATAGTGTATGCAGTGTGTGTGTAGTATATGCAGTGTGTGTATAGTGTATGCAGTGTGCAGTGTGTGTGTGTAGTGTGTGCAGTCTGTGTATAGTGTATGCAGTGTGTGTGTAGTGTATGCAGTGTGCAGTGTGTGTGTAATGTGTGCAGTGTGTGTATAGTGTATGCAGTGTATGTGTAGTATATGCAGTGTGTATATAGTGTATGCAGTGTGTGTGTAGTATATGCAGTGTTTGTATAGTGTATGCACTGTGTGTGTAGTATATGCAGTGTGTGTATAGTGTATGCAGTGTGTGTATAGTGTATGCAGTGTGTGTGTAGTATATGCAGTGTGTATATAGTGTATGCAGTGTGTGTATAGTGTATGCAGTGTGTGTATAGTGCAGTAAAGGCGAACCTATGGCACGCGTGCCACAGGTGGCACGCCGAGCCCCCTCTGTGGGCACGCGGCCATAGGTCGCCGGAGGGAGGGAGGGTGAGCGGGCGCAAAGCCGGAGTGACCGGCAGGAGGTGAGCGCATAGCGCACAGCGCTCCCTCCTGCCAGGCACTCTGTGTAGTGTGGCCGAGCGCACCGCGGTACAGGAACTTATGTTTCCTGTACCAGGGCGGACGGAAATGAAGTGCTCACAGAGAGAGCACTTCCTGTCCGCCGGGTACAGGAAACTGGGCTCCGCACTCGGCCATGCTACAAGGTAGGAGCTCAAGGAGGGGGGGAATGAAAACTAAGGGAGAGATGTGGGGGAAACTGAGGGAGAGATATGGGGGGAACTGAGGGAGAGATATAGGGGGGGAAACTGAGGGAGAGAGATGGGGGAAACTGAGGGAGAGATATGGGGAACTGAGGGAGAGATGGGGGAACTGGAGGAGAGATAAGTGGGGAAACTAAGGAGAGAGATGGGGGAACTGAGGAGAGATACATGGGGGAACTGAGGGAGAGATGGGGGGAACTGAGGGAGAGATGAGGGGACTGAGGGAGAGATGGGGGGAACTGAGGGAGAGATGGGGGGAACTGAGGGAGAGATGGGGGAAACTGAGGGAGAGATGGGGGACACTGAGGGGAGAGTTATGGGGAACTGGAGGGAGAGATGGGGGAAACTGAGGGAGAGATGGGGAAACTGAGGGGAGAGTGAGGGGAGAACTATGGGGGAAACCGAGGGAGAGATGGGGGAACTGAGGAGAGACAAGGGGGGGGAACTGAGGGGAGAGACATGGGGCAGAAACTGAGGGAGAGATGGGGAAAACTGAGGGGAGGAGATGGGGGAAACCGAGGGAGAGATGGGGGAAACTGAGGGGAGAGTTATGGGGGGAAACTGAGGGAGAGATGGGGGGGAACTGAGGGGGAGAGTTATGGGGGGAACTGAGGGAGAGATGGGGGGAAACTGAGGGGGAGAGTTATGGGGGGGAACTGAGGGAGAGATATTGGGGGGTGAAACTGAGGGAGGTATGGGGGGAGAAACCTGAGTGTGGGACAGGGGGAGAGGGGAGACGACATACACACAGCACCCCTGCCCTACACATATCACCCCACACAAAGACACCCACACATCACCCTACCCACACATCACATCACCCCACCCACACACACAAACACATCACCCCACACACACAAACACATACACTGTACCCCTCAATGCAGTGTGTGTACACTCAGCAGTCTGTCTGTCTGTGTGTGTACACTCAGCAGTCTGTCTGTGTGTGTACACTCAGCAGTCTGTCTGTGTGTGTACACTCAACAGTCTGTGTATGTGTGTGTGTACTCAGCAGTATGTGTGTGTGTGTGTACTCAGCAGTCTGTGTGTGTGTGTGTGTATTTAGCAGTCTGTGTGTGTGTGTGTACTCGGCAGTCTGTGTGTGTGTGTGTGTGTGTATTTAGCAGACTGTGTACTCAGCAGTCTGTGTGTGTATTCAGCAGTCTGCTAAATACAGACAGACTGCTAAGTACACAGACAGACTGCTAAGTACACACACAGAGATGTTAATTAGTTCGGACAACTGTATGAGTTGTTTTTTCTAAACTTAAACCTCAGTATTCAGGTTTAATTGCTGTTTTGGCACTTTGAGGGGAAAAAAATTGGCATGTATTACGGTTTGGGCACTCGGGCTCACAAAGGTTCGCCATCACTGGTATAGTGTATGCAGTGTGTGTCTAGTATATGCAGTGTGTGTATAGTTTATGCAGATGCAGTGTGTATGTTGTGTGGAATAAGTGCTGCCACTTACCTGCCCGTCCCGTCCTCCTCGACTGGTGGTCCGGTGGCAGTGAAGAGGGGCCCAGTACACTCCATGCTCGTTTCCCATCCAGCAGCAGCAGGGTCCTCTGTTCTCGCGATCCGCGAGAGCATTGCGCCAACGCTCTTGCGAATCGCGAGAACAGAGGACCTACTGCTGCTGGATGGGAAATCGTGTGGATAATTTCCTAAGCGGCCGGTCACTTTACATAAGACACAGGGGCGGCGAAATGCCCGGGTACCACTCACTAGGGAGGTGCCCGGGGCGGACCGCCCCTTAGTACTACACTGGTTGAAAGTACTATTATGCCCATACCTATTCTGCTTTGATCAAGAATGTATCTAATTATTATTGCAATAATCTCTTACTAAATGTATTTTTTAATTAGATGCATTTGTATATTGATTTTGAGATGTTGTATAATTTATATAATTTTATGATACACTAAACAGATAGATGTACTGTATTATTTAAATGGAATGATGGTTCACACATGAAAGGTTTTGCCATAGAAGGATGTATGTACCTTTAAGAAACTCTGACAGGCATCACAATCTTATAGGGTATATATACTATGAGACAAGGATCCTTCACTATCTTAAAAAAAGCATGTCAAGCACGGGCGAAACGCGTTAATGAGCTGAGGATAAAGTTTTCATTCATCTGCATTTCTCCGGTTCCGGCAGTAATTCGCAGCGATCTGAGATAACAGCATCCCTCCGGTCTTCACTATCATCATTGCGGCTTGAAGAGAGAACTGTCTACTGCTTCAGCTGCTTCAACTGAAGGGTAACTCTACTGCTCAACTGCTTGCACTGTACTAATTAGTGGTCACAATTTGAACTTTATACCACTTCTTGAATGTTATACCACTTCTTGTATTTATATTTTGACTTCTACACAAATACATTTTTTTCCAATAAACTGTGTTTGATAATATCCTGCTTAGAATAATTTCTGCTAGATCATAACTGCAACACTAAGCTGTGGATTTTCAACACCACCCTATTCCTGACCACAGTATCAGGCACACAGTGAATTCGATTTGCAAAGGCATACTCACCATTGTGTAGGTGTATAAAGACTATACTTAAGAGTATATAGTTTTATATTATTATTTTTTCCTTTTTCTAACAATTAAGGACAAGACTTTCTAAAGCGCTGACACAAAGGACTTTGAATACAGACTAGCAGGAGATGAGGAAGTGATCTGAGGAAGCCGTGAAGGCAAAACGCGTCATCACGTACGCACTTCCACGTCACATTACGCCGTCACGTGATCCGGACGCTAACCCCGCCTCCAAGAAGAGTCCATGTAGGACATCTGAAAGATCTGAGGTTCTGCAGCTGGCAGCAAACTTAATGGTCAGAGACCCTACACAGGACACACTCGAAGGAAGGAGGTGGAGTGGGGACGTTCTTTTTAATGTTATGTGAACAAAGAATAAAGAATTTCCATTTTACCCCTGGATGGCTTCCTCTCCTGCATCAGTGACCCTTTTAAAGGTCTACACACGCTGAAAGTTAAAGGACCACTATAGTGCCAGGAAAACATACTTGTTTTCCTGGCACTATAGTGCCCTGAGGGTGCCCCCACCCTCAGGGACCCCCTCCCGCCCGGCTCTGGAAGGGGGAAAGGAGTTAAATCTTACCTTTTTCCAGCGCTGGGCGGGGAGCTCTCCTCCCCGTCGGCTGAATGCGCACGCGCGGCAAGAGCTGCGCGCGCATTCAGCTGGTCGCATAGGAAAGCATTCATAATGCCTTCCTATGGACGCTGGCGTGCTCTCACTGTGAAAATCACAGTGAGAAGCACGCAAGCGCCTCTAGTGGCTGTCAATGAGACAGCCACTAGAGGAAATAGGGGAAGGCTTAACCCATTCATAAACATAGCAGTTTCTCTGAAACCGCTATGTTTATGAAAAAATGGGTTAACCCTAGCTGGACCTGGCACCCAGACCACTTCATTAAGCTGAAGTGGTCTGGGTGCCTAGAGTGGTCCTTTAAAGCAGGCTCATCTGCTCTCTATTTGTGAGTGTTTATTTACGTTTTACACTTACATTATTGTATAAAAGATTGCACTATATTCTTTTTCTATGTTTTTTATCTTTGAGTATTAGCTCGGATGGTACAAGTTGCCTGCAATTCTAACAACATACTGTTGTAAGTGTTTTTATTCATAACCTTTCACTTTAAGCACTTTGGCAAAGGAGTGCACATCACAAAATTTTTGCACAGTGACATTTTTGCCATATTTGAATGCACTTTAATCAGTATACGGTTTTACACTGTTTTTAAAATTTGATAAGTCTTAAAGACACAGCGCACCTTATTCATTATTTTATATTTGAAGAGTGTATTTATGGGCTATTGCACTTAAGGTGATGCTTTTTTGCACAAAATTCTATTACATCTTTTTAATATTTTATTTTACTTGATCTTTTGTGTATGTTTTAATCCTCATTGAGACAGGTATTACACCCTCCTCCAGGTTGCAGTGTTTTTGGGTGAGCTAGTCGGTAGACTGACTAGCCGATATTGGGCTTCCGGCCCAGGCCTACCCTGACAACACTCTTCCTGATTTCCTCGTTGTGGACCTTGTATTCCTAAAGTGGTGCAGACAGGTCATGAGGGCCCTGGAGCAGAGGCTGAGGCCTTTTTTCCTCTGCTTGAAGCTGCTTGAACCCACTTAAGTTTTATCTGTTTCAGGAATTCAAGATAGACTCAATCTCCTGTATACTCCTCTTAAAGATCGCGACTATCCGGAAGGGAATATGGAAAATACTGTTGGTGGACCACATCCCTCTTCATCTTCTGGCTCGATTTATGGGTCTCTTCTCTGCTTTCATTCAAGCTATCTATAGAACCTCTATATGCAACAGTTGAATGCACACTACCTGCGTTCAGGCCTCTTGTACGACCAGACGGTGACTCACTTCTGAGGATGGACATAGCTTTGCTGGTGGCTCCTTGATATACAGGCATGGAATAAAGAGACACAGACAGCACAGACAGCCATCTGATTGTCGAGATTTGGTTTGCGCCCTTTCGGCTGATTGGTTGTTGCTTGGTTTAGACGCAAAGTTTGAATTCGCCGGACTAAACCAAGCAACGCCATGTAACAAATTTCGGGGATGTACAGAGCCTCGAACCCCAGACTTTTGACGCTGATATCTTGGGCTCTGTACATCCAATCGCCCCTCTTTTTGCAGAGATCCTAAGGGGGGACCCGGGGCTATTAATCCATATAAGTTGTAACCCAGTATCTCCTTCCCGTCCCAGGGCGCCGAGCCCCAAAGTTGTTGTGTTGGATGGAGACCCCCTGTGGGAGTCTGTGCATAAAAAGCTGTATACCCAAATAAAGATTGTCAAAGTTGTACCCTGGAGCTGTGTCCCGTCCAGTTACTGGGGAAATGGGTCTGACCTATCATTGCCAAAGGGGATAACCAGCCGGGTTCCCCAGGTCCCGCTACAGTACACTCCGTTAGCATAATCTACAATTCTACGTGTATATTTATGTAATTGTTATGCAATTATATGAATATTATTTTAATTATTTTTATTTCTTTATATATTTATATATATAATTTCATTCTAATACGAATACAACTTTAAAGCCCAATAATATGGAGATGGCGTAGGGCACCGTAACAGAGGGATGGGGTTAAAAAGAACACACCACGGTACTAAGTACCCCCCCAAAAAAATCACTATTTAATAGATATAGCTCCAATGAATATATGCATGTATTTATTGGGGGTATAGCTTAAAAAAAAAAAAAACATGCAAAAGCTGCAAATCTTGTGACTGCAGCCTTTGCAAGCTATCCCTTTTTTCTGCAGCAAAAAAGTCTGAATAACAACAAGGGAGGTGTTTCTTAATTAATCAATAAATGTGCCAATTTATAAACTGGCATTGAAATTGGATACTCCATACATGTAAAGCACATGAATGTGATAAATGCTCCCTAATTATGTTGTCCATTTTTTTATTTTTTTATAGTATGCATATTTTCTAAGTTATAAATCAGGGAAAGTAGGGACTACGTTTCCTTATGTATAAGTCGAACACTGACATAAATTGACAAAAGGTGTAGGTTTTGTCAAGCTCCAAATCCTTTGTCAACTTTGTTCCTGGCTGTTTTTTAAGTACTCACCTCCTTCCTGCAACGCACCATTACTTGAAGTGGCACATCACTGATCCTCATTGTTGACTCTTGTGAAAGTCAACTCTGAGGGCAAAAGCAGCTGCAGGATCACCAGGGCAGATGGATGATTTCAAGCGCACACCCTGGAGAGGGCAGAAGATATAATCTCCAGGCACTGCCATTTTATAATCTTTAAGAAGGCAGCGCTGAGTAAAAGGACCTGGCGGGACCAAAACTACTTAAAAAAAACATGAGATAAATAGATCTCAGGCCAGAACAGGTTGGGGGAGGACATTCTGGGGGCTTAAGCAAAACATTCTTCAGCTGGGAACCAAGGTATCCCTTTGTGACCGATCCGCTTTAAAGGGAATCTGAATGATCGTTTGTATGAATGTGTATAATACTGTGCAGGTTGGGGCAAGTTTAGGGCATCTCCACAAAGTATTTATAAAAGAATCACCTTCGCCATAGTTGATCCAACATGCAGTTCACAGACCTGGACATATATGTGATAATCATACTGAAATCATGTACCAATGAACAGTGGCGTACTAAGGGGGGAGGCGGTCCAAGCGGGTGCCACTCAGTAGGTGGGTGCCACACTCTGTACCTCCTGCTGCTTCAGAATCCCCTTCTTTAACACACTCAGAAAAGAAATGATAAAATACGTATGGAACGGGGGGAGGCCCAGAGTGAAATTTTCTACACTGACACGTCCTAAAGACAAAGGGGGACTAGCCCTCCCAGACTTCCACCAGTACTACGTGGCCACACACCTACAGAGAATCATGGAGTGGTCTAAAGACGGAGTACACAAACTATGGAAGACGGTGGAAGAGGCAGAAGCAGGCAGACCGATCTCGGGCCTTCCCTGGGGCCGAGACACAACCGATAGAGGTGACATGTCCATATACACGAGACACACCATGAGAGTTTGGAGATGGGCCGCGAAGAAGGGGAATATGGCACCGTACCCCTCCCCCCTCCTACCCCTGACACACAACAAGGACTTCCCGCCGGGTTTGGACCCAGGAGTCCTCAAACACATCCTCCCGGACAGATCCCCACGCCTACACCACCTCCTCCAAGGAGGGAAATGTAAAACACTAACGGACTTGATGGGAGAGACGCCCCCGACCTTTATGCACCTCTTCCGACATGCCCAACTGACCAATTACGTCCACTCCCTGCCGCAGGGACCAGCACTGGCCAGAGACCAGACCACGATAGAAGTGGTCAGCTCACACCCAGACCCGCTCCCACACGGAGTGTCCTTCTTATATTCCATGCTCCAATCAGAAACCCCGTCCGAGACACCACTCTTCATGGGAAAATGGGAGACAGCCCTGGGTAACACACTAACAGAAGCAGAATGGGAAACCATCTGCTACCTTACACACCACTGTTCCACTCACAGCAAAACACAGGAAACGGCCTACAAGCTTCTAACACATTGGTATAGGACACCACATCTCCTTCACCACGTAAACCCAGACCACTCCAGACTCTGCTGGAGATGTGAACGAGAGGTAGGCACCACGAAACACATCTGGTGGGATTGCGCGTTGATCCAACCATACTGGAAGAGGATACACAAAATGCTAGAGAAGTTCGCGGATGCGCCCCCCCCCCTGGAACCGGCAGCGATGCTCCTACACCACACAACAGTTCCCCGCTCCAAATACAAAAAATCCATGACCATTAGAATACTTAACGTGGCCAAACGAGTGCTCCCCCAATTCTGGAAACAAACAGTTACACCCCCACTTTCGACCTGGTTTAGCCAAATGGAAGAACTAAGGTCGATAGAGGAACTGACCATGACGGCCAACACTACACCCACTATCTACATGAGCATCTGGACGCACCAGATTCTAGAGACGGTGTTAAGACACCTCCCGTGTCTTTAAGCCAAACCGCCGTTTAGTAAACCTTCCCCGGCTGCAGTACAGTCTCTGTTCGCTTACTCTGTAACCCACGAACCAAATGCAGGGGAAGCGGCAATCTCCCGATCGAAATCCACGAACGGCTCCAAACTCCCGAACGGCAATATACGAACTGCTAGGAACCGTCGAACAATAATATCCCCAAAGCGGCTTTCGTTCCATCCAGCAGTCTCTAAACGTGAAGAAGAAATCCCCCCAATAACGAGACAGAAGCTCCGCATTGAGGGTCAAATAAGATCTGGGTTTACTGTGGGCTACCTGCCCGTATTTATGCAGGTCTCCCACCTGGTGGACACTCCCCTAGGGGACCAAATGGAAGACTTAAAGTACAGACAGATAGCAGG